CCGCCGTCGCCCTGGCAACGCGCTGCCCGAGCGCCCCCTCCCCCCTCCAACGGCCATAACGGCCGCCGGCTCTTCCAGAAGCGGCTGCGCCGGCGCGTGAGGGACAAAAACTCCCCTTTTATTTTATTTTTTTTTTTAAATAATTATTCGCTTTTATTCCATAGTCTTTCATCAAGGAATTTCACACAGTGAAAAGCTACAATGTACTTCCTCCGGGTCAAGGCAGCGAGGGCTCTCACAGGAGAAAGCAGCATGGAAAAGACAGGAGGAAAAAAAAAGAAAGGAAAGAAGGTGGGAAGCATCGTGTCTTCTCTCAGCACCCTGAAAGGTACAGCAGTAAGTTCAGAAATGCAAGTAATGCATCCAATTTTTAGTTAATGCTTCTCAGACGGCTTACAGGAGCAGGGGGAGGACAGCAGGACAGGAGGAGCCCAATGTGAAGGGGGGAGAAAAAATTCTTCATATCCATATTCAGTTAAAAAGCCCTCTTCTTGCGGCTGCTTTTGGTTTCTTACTTTCAACAGATAAAAGAGTTGCCCCTGGGGCTCCAAACCACTCAGGCACTTTTCTCTTAAAAGGGAGAAGGGAAATCTAGAAGGAAAAAAAATGTACAAAATATTTAAAATCGTTTCACTATAATCTATTTAGTTCTATGTTTAAAGCCATACTTATTAGGAGAGAGTCCGGTGTCCACACTAGTCCCAGCAGGCTTATCACTCACCTGTAACACCTTTTTAAAATAGTTCAGTGAACACGAATCACTCAATGTTAGTAAAAAGAAGCAAACCTCAGAAAGATTTAAAAGGTTAACTTGAAAAAAAACGCAAAAGCAAAAGTTGTTATTGAACTCTTCAGGAATCATCTCAAACACACCAACCAACTGAAAAAGAAACCATCACAAAATCCCCCACCCCTGTCTCGGTAGCAAAGAAAACAGCCAATACCAAACCTAACTTCAAAAAGAGCTCACGTGCCAGTGTAGGACAAACTTGGGTGCCCAGCAGACCATAGAGGTACTCTCTGTGGTAACTCCTCTCCCTACTAATACCGGCCAGGCCAAACTCCCAACTAGCATCTTCCGAAGGCATGGGAGAACATACCACACTTGGACTGCTTCATCAGCTGCTTTCATGGTGCATGTGTTGGTGGTTATGGCAATACAAAGCTATTTGTTCCAGGAAGAGCTTGCAAATGGAAGGGAAGTTTCTGCCATCGATATTGAAAATTTAAATAACACAAGACTCCATCTCCTTGAAGCCTATCCTTCCTCAGACCAAAAGAAACAAAAATCACTGGCATACAATTTCACATCACCCTGTATGCAAAAGGAAAACCGGCAAAATGCTCTCTAAGATTTGGAAACCTCTTCCCACTAGAGGGCAAGAAGTGGCATATTCAGACACAGGCCAGAACAACAGGAAAGGGGAAGATGTCATTACACCAAGCATATTAACAAGAGGCTGCTTGCACACTTCAGGCCAAACCTTTCTATCAAGGTTTTAGGCACAGAAGAGACCAAAAATATAAGCTGGGATTTAGGTTTTGCATGAGATCTGCAATCTGTTCATAGCACGGAGCTACAGGCACCCTCACCTTTGCCTGAGAGTCAGGAAGCTGTTCCTCCTCATCCAGATTTATGAAGGCAGGCTCTTTCCGGGAGGCTGCTGTGATGGGCATCTGACCACCTGCTGCACCTCCCTTGCTGTTACCAGGCTGGTTGTCATCCATGCTCCATACAGCCTTTCCATAGGAGAGAAATAAAGCAGGCTGCTAAGCTTATCACTGCATTCAGGCTGCAGTACAAATAACTAAATAGAAAGTTATACTTAAAAAGCAAATTAGTAATTCAGAAAGCAAATTAACACCTCCACTTCATGAGATCTCTACTATTTCTCATCTGTTTCCCCCAGTAAGAAAAGAGCACACGACATTTATTTCATGAACAAGAGAACTAGAACTTGTATTTGAGCCCTATTTGTAGTGCTGAGCACTTCCTCCATCCCAACTCCAAAATCTTTTTTCACTCAAAAAAAGCTGTTTTCTGTTGTGTTTTTCTAACAGGATTTAATTAAAAGTAGTGAGCATACAGAGCATATTGATTTTTCTAAGCTCTTAACAGAATACCTGTTGTCTAGTATACAATGGGGCAAAGTTTCAAAGCATTAGCTTTTCAGAATAACCAAAGTTGCATTTTCAAGACTGTTTGCTTCAGGGAATTGAATGTTCTGAAGGAGATCTAAGCCAGCAAAGCGTATTTCGATTAGCTTTTGGATTCCCAATCTACTCCTTTTTGTAATGTTATCTGTTTTCTAATACCTTTCTTCCTGGTTGTTAGCTGTAGCAGCTAGTTATAAAATTGAAAAAAGTAATTAGAGCTCAAGCAATTGAACTGTTGAGAAACGGTCAACTTTGAGAAGAAGTTACATTGTGGACATTTTGAAACCCCAAAAAGGATCTGAAAGGCAAGAAAATCAATTTGGTGAAACGGCAAGTTTTGAAAAGTTATTTAAATCCAAGTTAAAAAAACCAAACCCTGAAACTCCTGTGCATAACAGACCACAAATCCTAGTGCAGGCAGTAAAAGGATTCAGTGCAGGGTGGCCTTTGAGTAAAGTACCGAGCTAAGGTTTGGGATATAGGTAGGATATTTAGAAGCTAGCCGGAGGCTTAGTAGGCCACCTCAAAACACCAGTTGAGAGCTCCTTATTTTCTGTTCTGAGCAGAGATTTCCTCTCTGTAACTCTCACTCATAGCTCAATGCTCGTTTTCATCACAGCTATGCCCAGACGTCTCAAGGCAACAGAAGCACCCACGGAAGATGGGCAGGCATCGCCACTGCCTTCCTTGTCAGTTTTACAGCTTCTCTTACTAACCTTTGTTTCTGTCCCCAAAGCATTTTCCCTGCTTGTGTCACCCACTCTTTCTTGCCGACTGCTTGACTGTGCCAGGGTCCTTTTGTTGTGTGATCCATCCTGTGGTTTGCTTCCATCCTCTTTTTCCAGTATTGCAATAGTCATCCTGATGAGATACATTTCAATATCTGCAGGAACTAGCTTCCTGATTGCTTGAATTTTGGTTGTGTCTTAAAAACAAACAAAAACACTTATATAGATGTATATCAATACACACAGAGAAAACATGCCCTTTATTCACAATGCTGCTATGCACCGTGCTGTTCGCAGAGCTGCTATTCTCACCTGAGTCAATGGGAGGATTACAGATAACATCAGAAATCATCCGTTGAATTTCTGGAGTCAAACCTGCTCGTTCCAGATTGACAGGGCAGCCAGCTTTCACTGCCTGGCACAGGTGAGTGCCAACCTCAGAAAGAGGAAGAGATCTGCTCTCACTTATAGTCCGCTGGGGAAACAATGACAGAAGTTAAGGTGATAAAAGTGTCCTAAATAAAGCGAAGCTCCCAAGCCTGGCAAGCTCTCGCTCCCTGAGAGTAACCAGAGGATGCGGCATTTCTCAGCCCCAAAAAAACCAAAGCACTTTGCAGGCACTCTTAATAGAAAGCTGCATGTTATCTCACTATAGTCTCATTTGCAGCAAGATCTGTTTTTCATATTTATTGTTTTGTCAGTACAGGAAAGTGAACTACTATTTACCAGGGAAGATGCAGCCTCAGTGCTTTACAGAGTCAGCAGAGGATTTAACAGCACAAACTTGCACGCCTCTCACTTAATAAAAAGTCTCTGCTGTTAACTTTAAACAAGGAAGAGGCCTCCCTAGGGAAAATTCTTACCAAGGACAGATTCTTCTCTTGGAATAGGACATATGTGACATGCTCTGATGGAGAAAGCACTCTAGCATGCTTCTGGGGAGTTGTCGTCATCTTCTGATCTCTAGATCCAGACATAGGGAATACATCCGTCTAAATGATATAGAGAGAATTTAGAAATATATCCCGGTAATAACCACCAATGGATCAACCTCCCCTATGTAATTTGAAGGAATATCAGAAATGGAGTCATTCACCTTGGTTTGGCACTCCATACTGTACAGGGAGAGAAGCCTTAGAATTAAAAAGCAAAACAAAAATAAAGTAAGAATCAGGACAGACATCTACATATACCTGCCTGAATAAAAACAAGTATGGGATTGTCCAAGGGACTTGCAGACCTGCCTTCTACCACCCCCAAACCAGGGTCCAGCTCTGCTTAAGAGAGATCTAAGTAGCATACCCCAATTTGGGAAACATTTGCAGTCAAGGCTAGTATAGTTGGATGGGACAACTGTGATGAAAAGAAATAAAAACGTGCCCCCCCCCCCCCCACACACACACTGAAGGAGATAATAGGATAGCTGCAGACCATCATAATTCTTTAAGACTCTTGCAATGTAGCAGGCACTTTGCTGAATCCTGAAAATTACCTGCAAATTATTCACTTGGCAAAACATCTTAATTTCTGCCAGGAGAGGGGCCAATATGGTAGATTTTCCTTCAGATACACCATCAATTCTCTTCACATTCTCAACAGTTGTAGGCCTGAATCAGGGTGAACAACAAAAGCACTCAGACACACTCTATTGCCCCTTACCACCCGAGTTTTTTGGTAGCACTAAGTTCTCTAACAAGCTGGAAATCTCTCAACATCTCTACTGACATAAAACCTAATTGAACTAGAAGCATATGTGGGAAACAATTACTCAAGCCACTGATGACAGAAGTTGCATGTTAGCTTAGCTTTATTTTACTGACCTGGCTTTGCAGTCTTTTGCATTTCCATGTCTGCTTGCCTGCAGACCTTACCTTATCTGGGCCATCTCCACAAGGATCTTATTGGTTGCCAGGACAGCTGGAGGAATTTCCTTCTCATTAGCCAGCTTCTGCCTAGCTGTCAACAACTTGCCATACAGGGCAGTCTGTAAAGGAGAGCACCAGTCTGTTGAAGAAGCTTTAGATCAAGCACATCAAAAATAACTAAAGTAAAAAAAAAAATCCCCCCACACCACTACAGCATCCTTCATTTTTCCTCAAATACACAAAACCAAATAATGCATTTTAATTCTTCTAGTATTAAAGAGCTGCCCAGACTGCAGTTTGACTGCAATTCATAGATATCCTTCTGCTTTCACACTTACCTGCAGTTCTTTTTCATGGGATGAAACAGATTCTGCAGACTTTGAAGGAAGGGGTTTGACTGGTGAGCATCCAGAGACCCTAATTAAAAATAAAGCAGCATTAGGTCAGCACTTGTTTAGGACACCAGTTTATTCCTGTACTTGATACAAAGATCTGGGAGAGCAGCCACTCAACTTGTTCTTTTTGTCAGCATTTCCGCAGTATCATTTCAACAACAGCTTCCAGGAAACTGTCACTTTTGCCCTTGGGCTTTTTGCAGACAGCATCTCAAAGCCAAATGTGATAAACATCTCTGTAGGGCTGATCTTGTACCTTAAAAGTAACTTTCTATAGTACAAAACTCAGGTATAAATACTACAGTTTTGCAAACAAAACACCTCCATCTCTACCTAGAATTGGATTCCTGTATTGTTAGGCATGAACAAGCCCTTGTATGTACATAATGATATTTTCCAAGCGCTCCACAAGTGGTGCCTTGTGTTTTTTTCCCCTTGTTGCCGAGAACGTTGACCCTAGCCAGAGTTAATACATTTAAAAGCATCAGTGGCAAAGACAGAGCTGCTGCGTGGCAAGCAGAGTTATCTGTTGGTAGGGCTTCGTACATCCATACAGAGCGTGCTGTGTCACAGCACAGAGCCTACAGTTAAAGAAGTTTCCATAACAAGAGGAAACTAGATTGCTGGTGTTGTATTGCAACGTTGCAAGCAGACAGGCTAGCCTAGCATCTTTTCCTTGATTTACCGAGCCAAGTATAAAATAGCACACAGTTTAGAATATAACTGTCCCCAAAACAATCTTTCCCTGTACAGCTACAGTGGTAATCACTCAGCTTAAGTGACATTTCTCATTTTCCAATCTCCTGCTGGCATCAAGCTCCTCACTTGAAACAGCAATACTATTTTAGGGGTCATACTACAAAAGCAGTGTCCTTATTACATAGCTAAACATTACTAACCATTTTAGCCTAGATTACTATACCTGTTAAGTGCATCATTTTTTCCTGGTGAAGTTTTCCCTTTTCTCTCATAAGAAAACATTTCATACAAAGACATCTATTTGAAACAAGACAAACAAATGCCAATTTAAAAGCAATTTATAAGCAGCAAAACACTAATTTGTGAGTCCATAATACAGTTTAAGTATATACAGTATATATATGCACATACATAGTTTATATATAGTATATATAAAAATATATATAGTATAAATATATATAAATAATATGGTTTTAATACAAGCAACGAGGCAGTGCGGAATGCAAGGAGGACTGTACTTGTACGGACCTGTTTGACTGGTGACAACTTGGTTCCTTTCCCACACGGGGAGCGCTGTTCAGAAACCACAGCAGGCCTAGTGCTATAAGAAAATCAATTCAGTCTTACTGGAATCAAACAGACAATCATTTATGTCGCTAAGCAAACTGAACTCAACTTTGTATAATGGTATTTTTAGAACAATAAAGTAAAAATGATTCACTGCTTCTGGGAAACAAGACAGACAAAAGCATGCTGGAGCTACTGGAACTTTTTACCAGCAACAAAAATCTAGTCTTATAGAAAAGCCCAAAAAGCATTCTCTAATCACCATGTTGCTAGAAAGTGATCATTAAAAAAAAAATATATCAACTAACAGTCAGGTAATGACAACGTAGGCACCTGAAAGGTCTCCATTGTAAAATCTGCTTCTGAAGCTATTTGTTGCTATGCCAAAGTCACTGCAATCTCTGGTTCGTTACTGTGCAACTCACAAGTTCTGGCCATAATTGGTATCTGAACACCAGCAATACCATAGAATTGCTATCTGTGAAATATAAGCTTAAGAAACAAGCTGTCTAATGTTTAAAATATATGAAAGGAGCACTGAGGAGAGCATGGATGTTCCATTTACCTTCTAGAAGGTTTCCTTAGATTTAAGTCTTCGCTAGACTGTAAGAGAAGGCTTGGACTCGAGGCAGATCCAGCTTTCGAAAGCCAATTTCTACCCTGTAAGAAATGCACCATATGGTTCAGCTGCAGATTGCTGAAGAGAAGTTGCTAATGAGATTTTTTTACAACAAAAATTACCTTCTGGGTAAGCACACATATGGTGGCAAACTTGCTATGCCCAGAGGCTTCTCTGAGGAACCCCTCGTTTATCAACTGTTGGCCCAGTGATTTCCACCAACTCTCCGGCCTGTCTTTTCCACTACCAAAAAGAGCGTGTCTTCGGTATCTTTCTGACAAACGTTGAGAATTCTGAAATTCGGAAGAATGGGTCAGCATATTTTGTGAGGAAAAAAGAAAAACAATACATAAATCACTATCTGATGAACCAAAAATCTGCGTGAGGAAGAACACACTTCCCACAACATTTCTCCAGAGAACCCGTTTTCTGTAAAACCACAAATTGGAGTACTTTATTCAGATTTCTGTAACGCAATTAATATAACCCTACTTAAAACAGCTGCATATGAGACTATAAACCACATACTTGTTCATGTCACCTGAGTAGCAGTTGCACCTAACCTAACCTGACCATCAGGTCAGCAGTATTAAGGCAGAACACAAAATCATCTGCTTTATTCATAAATCAACAGATAACCATAAATAGATGCTTTTCTTCACTCTGAAATTGCTAATTCCTTCAAGATAAAAGAAATCAGAGAAGCAACTTAACTGTCTCCACTAAATCCATCCAATTCACTATAAACAACTGGAGCACTTAAGGTTTACTGGAAGAACCTCAGCCAGGCCATTGGCAGAAGTGCTAATCTTCATGTGTCCGTCTCACTTAGGACATCAGGAAAGAGGGCAAGGCACCAGAACCACCCCTCTGCTCGACAAACACAAGAGTTTAAGTGTCACTTACAGACCCTCGGAGAAACAAAATGGGCAATTTCATCCCAAACTTCTCATCCAGGGCACTCACTGCAGACATGAGCTGGAAGGCTTGTTGTCCAAAGTCCTCTAAATTTCCTTCTGAGTCACTGGAGGTCGCAAAACGAGAAGTTCTGAAATGCATGAAAACCATAATTAATTATATTAGGATGTAATTCCCCGATGCTCCCCCTTCTTGTATTTAGGGCATGATAAAACAAATGCACACTCTAAGTTCCATTCGTATAAGCAATTAAACATACTTTCAAAACAAACATCTGTGATTAAAAATGAAAACAAGCAAAAGCCAAAGTCTCATGTGATGAAGACAGCTGGACAACCAGCTAAGCAATTTGTCACGTTGTGTGCTTTGACAGAAGACTGTTCCATCTTCTGATTTATTTAGCATATAAATATTTGAACCGTCTTTTGCACTTAAGATACTTCTAACAGCACCTAATAGCCAAAACATGTTCCCCCCCCCTTCTTGGGCTAAGGCCTGCAAAATGAGTGAACAGAGTCAGTCCATTTTGGATCATTTGCCTGGTAAATCTGCTCGAGTGAAGCAAACCTCTCCCATCAGTCTTCAGGGAAGAACATGCACCTGGTCCTGCAGTTATCACAGCACTCGTCTGTGCCCATGATGCCCGAGGAAACCTTGCGGAGTTGTCTGTCTTCAAAGTGAGACAAGATGATTCTACCCATGGAAACACAGGAAATGACATAAAAACACAGGAATTCACCCTTTAAACTCATTCCAGAAAGCAATGGGTTCAAATCAGCACCATTAATTAATTCACTGGGAAGCCAATTATTTGGTCTTCAATGTTCTCAAGGGTTTTTTTTGATTTTTCATATATATTATATACGCATATGCATATATATTCCTAAACATGCTGAAGATCATATCTCTAGACAGTGCTTTCAAATACTGTAGAACACATTTACAGAACACATTGCAAATAAAAGGCCCTCCGTGACAACTGAGCCACAATGGCTCTTAATGCAAACTCTGAAGTTATAGGAAACATGCAATAAAATGCAGTACTCACTTCCTCCTGCAGCTGTTTGAGGTAAGGTACTTCTCTATTTTTGCTACCATCCTAAGTTTATACAATCGGAATGTTTCATTGCGTATCTCGTTCAGACGATGCCTGTCAGTCAAGAAGAAAAACAAATTAAATACCGATCGCTGTCCCTTTGTCTCTTAGTGAAACACAAATAATGCCAGTCAACTCTATGAATCTGACTGAAAACAGAAAGAAAATTCCTACTAAAGGCAGATCAAAACCTCCTTCCCAGTTTCTCCAGAAGCTAAATCTTTGCAGCACGGGGAATATTCAGAAAAATCTCAAACTCATGCTATGCTACCTACAAGCAAATATTCTCAAAAAGGAGAGATGGAGAGACTGAGTCCCTCTTCTGGCCCCACAAGCCACTAAAATACAGAAATTAATGCAGCGAGATGCAGAGCAAGGAGGGAAAGGTTGTACAGAAAAATCCTCCTTCATTTCCAGTTTTCCAAACAAGCCCTGGCAATTCCTCATCAACACAAGTGGCCAGATTAGAAATGAGTTAGGACATTAGCCACCGTGCTTTTAAAGCAAATTTAATCCCCACTGTGGTATTCCCTGAGAGCAAGCAACTGAGCAAAGAACACAGAAGGTAAGTCGTGGCTCTCCACGGCTAAGCAGCTGCTCTCAAGTCACCTACCTGTTTAAGACCAAGTCCGCCGACGTCCACAGTACGTGACAAGCAGCAGGAAGCCCGTCACGACCAGCTCGCCCGATTTCTTGGTAATAGGATTCCATTTCCTTAGGGGCACCATAATGAATAACCCTCCGGATATCTGCTTTATTGATGCCCATTCCAAATGCCACCGTAGCTACAACACACTACGAAACAAGGAGCAGATGGAAAGCCTTTTGAACCAATAAAGCAGCTGATAGGAGAGCATGATTTCACCTACCACCAGCTTCCTCAGATGCACTAAAGGAACTGGCAACATGCCAACAATACTACTGTCAGCACAGACCAGCAATTTCTTGCTCAGAATGGGAGATCCACAGAGTAAACTGGAAAGACAGGTTGATGTTTGCAGCGTATGTGTTGACGCAGTGACTGACCCATTTTCTGCCAGAGACCCTACTGCCACAGATGAGACTACGCACACTTAGTTACCTGGATTTCATCCCTCATAAATTGGTAATGGATGTTTCTCCTTTCCTTGATTCCCATACCGGCATGGTATGCACCACAGGCCACGTTCAGTTTTACAAGCTCAGAAACAACTTGTTCAGTGGCCTTTCTTGAAGGACAGTAGATGATTGTGGGTCCTTCAAACTCATACCTAGAACTGACAAAAATAACAGCAAACATGTGAAAAGGTTGCTAAAATATGTAAAGATGCAGAAAGAAATGATCTGCAAAAACTCTATTGGACCCTAATTAAAAAGGTGTGCCTTTTGCAGGGGTTCAATTTCTTCAAAAATTCAACATATAAATAGTTTAGATCTCTTTTCTCCACCACCCTCATTTTAATTAACACGAAAAGTCATCAGATCAGTTGCAAGTCTACCACTAGTGCTGAGTTTGTTGCACATTGTTCCCTCAATACTTTTGAGGTTAAGAGCACAGGCTTAAACCCTCACCTTTCTTTTCTAATAAGAAACTGCTTCAGATCCCTAAGGATATTTCCACTCTGCTGCCCAACTTCTAAGTACAGGTTTGGTCTGTCAAAACTCGTGCACGTGACCTGGGGATTCTTCAGGTTCAGACACCTCACTATGTCTTCCCTAATCGAAGGGCTTGCAGTTGCAGTTAAAGCCATGATGGGAACCTGTAATGAAAAACACCACAAAAAGCAAAAAAAAACCTGCAGTGGAATCAAGCAGTTTGAGTAGCTCCCCTCACTGATACTTTAAAATCTTGAGTCAGAACTTAAATAGCAACATGAGAAATACTAATCTGCTCATCTTCATTGTAACAGGCCAGTGATTTGAAAGACCATAGGTACGTTTTACCTCTTAGACCTTTGGTTATACTGTTCAGGAGAAGGGATAAAACACTACTTGTATATACAGGTTTCTTGCCTGAGTTTATATGTTCTTGTATCTTCAGTGATATTCTAGTATTTTTCTGATGTGGTTCCTACAGTCGAGGCCTAAGTTTTGACCTTCTGCAAGCGTGCTTTAGGAGTGCCTAGAAAACTCTGCTGCTTGTCCTAGCAAATCACTCAATTTCAAAAACAAACAAAAAACCCTAGAAAGCGAGCAAGACATTTCAGTACAAGACCTTCCAATACAAAGAGATCCAAATAAATCTTAACTCTACTTTCCAAAAATATCTGTTATTCCAGGTTCAGAATATCCACCATGAAAAAGAGGCGAAGACAAGCTAGCCAGTAAGTTTTGAAGAAAAAGACGCAAAGCCTGACTGATAGAGCCTGCACAAATTCCAAAACAAGGTAGGTAAACCCAAAGAAAAGCAGTACCAGAAGGTGAGATCTCAGACTGTCATTCGAGGGAGAGGGAGTCCTTCTCTCAGACTTTAAATCAAACCTATCATGAAACCTTACCAAGGGCAGCACCTTCTTCAATGAGCCCAAACTCCTAAAGGAGCTTCTGAAGTCATGTCCCCACTCTGATATGCAGTGAGCTTCATCAACAGCTATGAGGGTGATACCTGGGGAGACAAATCCATAACATGGAAGAAGTGCTTACATAGCAAACAAACCAACAAGGGAAGCTGCAAAATACAAAACACTACATTCTGCTCAGTTTCAAGCTTTACTGACAGGGCCCCTAGCAGTCTGTTTTCCTTCTTGTTTCTTAATATCTTCTGCTGTAAGGACTCCTCAAGCCCCTTTTCATATTGGTCTCTTATATAAGACAGCCTAAGAGCATACAAAGATTTTCTCCCACCTTTGTTCTTCCTCCAGTTTCCAAATCTCAAATCTTTCTCCACGGGGCAAACCCATGAGCTATTGCCAACAATTAAACCACACTTCATCTTCCCTTTACATACTTCCTCACCAGTCACCACTTATGTGATTTACACATGTCATTAACTATTTCCTGAACTGGAAAACAGAACTTGTGAATCTCAGGAAAACACTGAGGAGAAAAATGCAAGTACAGAAAAATAAAAGAAGAAACAGGTCAAGCACGCCCCTGCAAAATAATGCTACATTTCATCCATCAGAAAACAAACAAAAAAAAAATAAAAAACAAACAAACAAAAAACCCCTCACACACCACTCTTCAGCCCCAGTATAGATATTCTGTATTCTAAACTTTGGCCTCAGAGCTAAGTACACAGGTTCTCATGTCTCTACAGATGTTCTCCTTGCTCAGCTTCTTCCCAGACAGTCCTGCCTACCTACAGCACTGAAAACTGAATTTCTGAATCAGACATACAAGAAAAAAATCTTAGTGTTTGCTCCTTAGATACACCCTACTATTTAAGGGATGTGGCAGCTACACCGTTCTACTTGTTAAGAAAACAAGTCACTAAGATGTAGCATCATATGTTTCACAATACATGTTTTTATTACTACATTCTGAGAAAAATCCAATGTTTAAACTACTTAAAAGACTGCAGTATGTTGAAGCATTATTAATGCATTTTCATCCTAGGACTGAGATCCTGTTCCAACAACCCTATTATTTGTTTTTTACATTCCCATGCCAAAAGTAAGCTAAACTACTTGCATCTTTGATCAGTGACATGATCTTCAGATACCATTTATTGGCAGTCATTTACCTAACCTGTTTAACGGCGAGAAGCAGAGGGGGCAAAAAAGCATTAAAAAAAGTTCAAGTGCAACTGTGATTTTAAGGTGCTGTCAACTTATCCTCAACCTTAACCACAACTTACCAATCGTTTGGTCAAGTTCCTGGAGCAATGATAAGTTCCCTGAACAGAACTCCGGAGTCATATATATGACTCTGTAGTGACCCCTACAACATCAGGAAAATACATCAGGAAAATCATGGAAGAAGTAGTCCCGAACAATCCCACTGAAACAAATGAAAGCATAATAGTCTAGATGACATAAAGGGGAATAAGGATGGATTTTGGATGGGGATAAGAGGAAGCAAGGGATGAATGCAGTGGAAAGGACGCAAAGTTAGCAGGATACCCAAGCAGTAAACATGGCAAGATAAACAATAGAAGAGAGATTAACTAGTTTTCCGAACTAGAAGGGACCACCATGATAACCTGGTGACAAATACAGGTCTAAAACCTGTGATTCCTGACTAAAACCCAGTCATCTCCCTAGCCAAAGGGCACGGGAGAGTGGCTGTATCCCTTCTACCTTGCTAAGGGGCACACGCAAGCAGTACCGCCAGCTTCCACAGCCAAGAGCTTCAGAMGTGTCAGATCAGAGCATCCTACTTGACTCAAATGCTGCTACGTCAGCGCCTGCAGCCCCAGAAAGCCTAGGTAAGACTCACGCTTTGATGTCTTCTTTGATGTTTTTCAACTGAGCTGATCCAAGCAAGCAGGCTGGAATCTCTGACATTCTGCAGTTAAAAACAAACAAAAAGAAACAGAGTCATGAACCAACTCGGGATGTTTTTTGCTTCACTTCTCAGCCTATGCCAGCACTTAAACCTAGCGCTTATCAAAGCACATAAAGCATTTATAAAAAACACCTTCAAGCTGTGGGGTCATAGTCTTTTCCTCTGAGGATTGCTATAGAAATAAAAAAAAAAGAAAAAAAAGAAATAGAAAGAAAAAAGAAAAATAGAAAGAAAAAAAAAATTGGTCGGTCACTGTTCTTCTAGTTTCCCTCCAGCTCTCCCAACACATGTGTTATGAGAACAAGAGTCAAGCAGATGAAAAACATTTTTCTTTTCCAAAAGGTACACTGCTTCCCAGAAATCTTTAAGAACAAATATGGTAGGGAACAGTCTCCACATTTCTCATGCAGTTCATCACGTTCAGATCACTGAACTTSCTTTATTAGTTTCCATTCTTCTGTCTCATCTCTAGATCTTTTCCAAGCTACTGGTACCACATCCACCAGCTTTCAGTTGAGCGTCTGCTTTCTAAAGAGAGGTTCAATACTTAGGCTTATCAACTCAGTCACTTGATAKTCAGTCTTGACCAGAACCTTGGACCTCCATCCTCTTAACTTGGTGATTTACTGTTTTTAATATAGCTACTTATTTCATCACCTTCTCCCCTCTCACTCCTCCACATTTCAGTCCTTGATAGGATCACATCCTGACTGACAGCCCAATTACTGGAGAAATTCAGTCTCTCCAGCCTTCAAAACCGAGTGCCTGCACTGAGCAGGCACTAAATAAAACGGGTCTCATCTTACACTGACAGTAACAGTACAATAGCCTTAGAGAGGACAAAAGTAGCTACACATTATAGATACTCTACCGCTCAATACTCGGCCCAAGAGCTGCGTTAGGTTGTCCAGCCATTCTGCTGCAAATTATGTCTTTGTGCAGCTGAAAATCTCACATATAATAGATTTTCCTTGCTTAAAAAGCCTTCATACAAAGGAAAGTCTCTTCTCTCATTCAGGGCATTTTCATTCCAGCTTAGACAAGGCAAAAACAATCTAGACAACTCAACACAATATTCAGACTGCAGCACTCTGCAATATAGATGGACTGTATCAAAATGGCATAGCTGTTAAAATAGCGAACAGGTGCAAGTGCAGGCAGCACTAACAAGTATTAGYATAAAAAAGGGAATATTTTGGTCACACTTAATGACTAGTTGTATTTTAGTGACTCTGTCGCCCAGCAACTCCTGCATCAGGCTTCTATATCTAAGAGGAGGTTAAGTGATAGTAGATCTCTTGTTATCTTGAAAAAAGATCTGTGCAATAACCTTGATGTGAGCCACCTCCAGCCCGCAGCTGCATGATGTTCAGATGCTACTGTTGGGACGCAAGGGATGCCCTAGTAAGTTTTAAGGCAACTTTCCACAGCATTTGCTCCTTGTGCCTGGCCTGAACAGAAAAGGGCCTGTGGATCAGGTAATGAGCATGAAACACCCACCACTACACATGCCTTGCAGATTCAGCCACAATTTATCTAGTGGGCAAATGCAGCWACGTTGACACCGTTTAGAGATTCATGTAGAGATTCATGACACCATTTAGAGATACATTTATTTCTAGAGAAATGTGTGTTTGACAGACACAGACAGCAGAATCTGTGGCTTTCCATAGGAAATACGGCAGGAGCCGATCGCTACCGCGTTACTTACGTTAGCTGCAGCACTTGGTCCTCCATCAATGAAATAAGAGGACAGATGACAATTCCAGTATGTCCAGTGTAAACAGGGGGAAACTGGTAGCACAAGCTTTTCCCGTAGCCTTAAAGAAAAACATAACAGCAAAGCCTGGAATAAAGCATCATGCTTTGTGCCCCTCAGTGCCACTATGCMAGGCAATGTTAACATCATCAGAGCCCTGTAAGATTTTGTTCCTTCAGCACAGGGACCAAGATGCGAGACAAACGTGACCCRCATCCTTTCAAGGCACCTCTCTATAGCAAGGTGAGCAGTGAAGACAGACATAAATGCAAGCAAAACAGCAGGCTGCGCCTAGCAGAGTCTGGAGAAAGAGATGAGTCCTGTACRCTCTGCCCTGCGATCCAAGGAAGCAGTCTCCAAGTTTCAATGTCCTTATTTCCCCAGCAAGGCAAAGATTTGGCACATCTTCTTAAGCGTAGGCTTAAAAGTTACTTACCTGTTGCCATCACGACAAGATTATCTCTTCTGTCTTTTAAAACAGAACTGATCACTTTCCACTGGACCCTGTAAATTAAAGATTTTTTCCTCTTTTGGTCAAAGATGTAATTCTGTAAAACTACACGTCTTTTGGAAACTTGCTATTTCACGGAGGTCCATAAGAAGGTACAGTGAGTTAATCAAAACAATGACAACCCACAATACAAAACAAGGTTCTGCCCCTTTTGAAACAATTAAAACAGCTTTCTCCAAACGCTGCTCTCTGACCATAAACCTGACACAAAGTTTTAATCATGGGAGCCTTGTCAGACTCTAAAGAAACTCATCCTCTGCTGTGAGAGTACATAYTGTAGCTACTTCTCTACAATTTATTTCAATACCTTATCATGGCAAAGACTGATTTTGCTTTTCTAAGGTTTTCCAAAGGTCCCAGTTTGTTAGTGGTTATTAAAGAATACWAAAAGTCATTCTTGTTGAATGAAGGGAAAGAAACTGAAGCCCAGAGTGTGCAGTGTAAACTGAAGAGATACTTACGGTTTAAAAGAGGAATGCCCAAAGTAGGTCTTCAGACAGGAAACTTGGTTGTCATCAGGTGCTGGAAGCAATGGATCTTCAAGGGGAGAGAGGAAGACGACACATCAACAACTGAATTTTAGAAAGTAGCAGCAATGGCTTGAAAGGCAACAGACTGCTTATGGTTAGTGATGGCCAGGCCCTGGGATTTGGGTGACTTCAGAAAACATATATGAAACTTAAAGACATTTCTCAGCTGAAATTAAGGAATAAAACCCCACAGGCAGGCTTCTGAGAGACAGTACACAAAGAACATATGGTTTTGCTAGCAAGGTRGCAGAGCTGTAGGTACTGTAATGTACAGCTGCGTTACTCAGAACTCCTCAGAAGAGATAAAAGATGTTGCACCAATAGTGCCTTCTAGAAACCTAAGTGAATTCATGCTAATCAGCACTTGACATTAAGCTGCTCACAAAAGTATGGTCTGAAAAGGACACCCAAGACCAACGGATCCTCTTAACTACATTAAGGAAATGCAGTTCCTGAACAACTTGAACAAGTCCTACCAAACAAAGAAGCAGTAGAGGTGGCGCTACAGCAGAAAACATACAACTCAAATAGTGCCTTGTCCTAACCTGTACTCTAATCAGGTTTCTTCTATTCTACATGATCTCAGTGTCCCCAMATTTGCTTCTACTCCCATCAGGTTCAAACTACTGATCATGGCAGGATTCAAACGTGTTTAGCCAACACCATCCTCAGCTTCAAGTTTTTATCCTGCTGCATCAACAGGTGTTCTTTGGGAGATCAGGATCAGCTTTAACTGTCCACTTTGAAAAGCCAAGTGCCTCCTGCTTCTACAGAGAGTAAATTACAGCATATAGGTTAAATCAAAATAAACGTTTCAAACATACCCCAACCTTCCTCCTCTTCTTCCTCAATGCCTTCATCTTCATCCACATCTGGAGCAAACTTCAATTCCATCTTTCTCCCAGTTTTATCAGACTCTCTATCAGCCAAAACTGCTTTGGAATCATCAACATCTGCTAACGACTGAGAATCAAGGAAAAAATTAATCCAGAGCATGAAAGGCTACATCCTATGCCTGTCTGAAGCAGCGAGACACGGTGGCATGTGGCTTTTAAACTAATTATGGCAGAGCTTGGTGGATAGCCACACGTTTTTCCCCCAGCCTTTTTTTATTCTGCTTTTATTAGCTGTAAGCAACATGTGCAACCTCTACATGTGAACGGGCACATCGACACCTACGGCTGCCATAGCGGAGCTGCTCAAAAGCTTCATCTGAAACGCRTAAACACTCCGCAGGCTCAGGGAAAGACAAGTTAGACAGAACATCTTAATGCATAAAAACACCAAAGAAGTGAGCTCTGCACGACACGTGGCTACAGAGCAATTGGTGTGACCCACAGCTCAAGGGAGCAGCCCCCACTGCACAAGCTGTCCTCTCCCGCGAGGGTTTGACTTGTGATACTCAGATCATCATTCACCAGCTCATTTGCTCTACACAACTGCAGGACACACATGGAAGCGAAAGTCTGAGCTGGTGTGCTAAAAATGTGGCAGGATAGGTGGGGTATTGAGGCCCAACACTGCTAAGGTGAATTCTTTAGGTATCCAAGTTCACCTAACTTCTATACATTGTTTATAAACAACCCCCTCAACGCTCTATTCCACTCTGGTCTAAAAACAAACGCAAAAGCACTTACTTTAAGCATCTCCATTTCCAATTCTTCATCACTCTCAATTACACAGGAAATATTTTGTTCGTTATCTGTGGAAGATGCCTCCTAAGAAAAAAATACATTATTCATCTATATTTTTCCTTCATTTTTCTATCATAAAAGCTATTCCAATTTTACCAAGTGCTTCACACCACTCTTACATGTTATAAGCTATTTGTCCATGCTTTGAACTCTTATGAAAATTACTCAGCTCAACATTCAGTTCTGATACCTGCTCGTAACAAAAAACCTTTGGAAAAATATTAAAACAAGCTGTAAAAGATGTAAGACATAGGAAATAAGAAAACAAAACTAATCTCACCAGGTATGGGAAACACCTGGAACATAAGGAAATTATCATTTGATGGGAAATGTATTAATTGACATTCGACAGTCACTGGAAGGGCTGCGCTTTACAGATCCCTTAGATAAAGATCAGGTTTCTATTCATGACCAAGTAGGAGATGTTGGACTGCAGAATTTTTCCTCATATTGCTGGAATTTTGTACTCTAAGTGTCTTAAGAATTATAATATAACTAAGAGTATCTTGAGCATCTGTATTCAGTACTGGCTGTCGCAGCGGTCGGAAGAGCAGCTCGGTGTCTGACTGCCACCTCCACGAACACTCTGCAGACTCAAAGCCCTTCCTCTCACTTGTCCTATTTTCCTCTCAGCAAGACAGCCTTCTAAAACCCCGTGGGAAATCAAGGATGAGCTCACTTCCCCCGGTAAGCACTTAGGCTTTACAAGGGCTTTTCTTATTACCTCAGGCACAGCCTCATTTAGCAGGTCTTTTGCAGCCTGCTGCTCCAACATCTGCAGTTCGTGCTCAGTAATATCCAGCGACATGAAGTCATCTCTGCCAGCTCTGTCATTAGAATCAGCCGCTACAGGCCCTTCTTTCTTCTCAGCATCGTCAATCTCTGCTTCTCCTTCATCACCTTCTCCCTCCCAGAAGGCAGCTAAYGTAGCATCTGAGCAGATGTTGAAGTCACCTTGCAGTTTTTTAGGAAATTCAGATATTTTAGCTTTTTCTGCTTCAGCATCTGTGGACTCTGGACMTGCCGCACAGTTCCTCTCCAATACAGAGGGGGAACTGTTCCCACCAAAGAGCGTGCTTCTTAAAGCACTTACATTTTCTGAGAGATCAGAAAGTATTTCTGCAACTCTGAAAAGGAAAATAGAAAAGTTAGGCAAAAAAAAAAAAAATGACCCAGTGTTACTGCATCCATCTTATCCCCAAACGAATGTGAGAATTCTGAGACACTCAGCTTTTCCAGAGACATTTCTCCAGAAATCTCATATATAAAGGCTTGTCACTCAGCTGCAGCTTGCTTTCTACCGGAATATATGTTCTGGATGATGAATATTCTTATGCTATGAATTTAAACCTTTGATGACACTGAAGAAAAGCTACTAAGATTCTACAACACAGTTTGTGGTGTTGCTCCCACACTTACTGGAAGTCTGGATACGTGATAAAATTAGGCACACAAGAGCCCTGAATGTCTAATGGAAATATGTCTTGCATTTCAGCAAGTGGATCTAGTGATGTCCAACTTCAAACCTATTGCCATGAGGGCAGATAAAAGCTGTATTTATCACATCCAAGCATAAAGGCAACATTTCTCTATGTGTGAGCTTTGGGGTTCTTTTTTTTTTTTTTTTAAGAAGGATGCAGAAATATCAGATAGTTGTTAACACAGACTGTGCTGTTTCAGACCTCAGCAGACAGAGATCAAGTACTSAGAAAACACCACAACCTCTGCAAGTTTCCAAGCTGTCCAGAAGAGCCAGGGATATGAGAAGCCAGATCCACCATTTCTTCAGCTAGTGAAGTCAAACGCTCCTTTACACCATCTGACATCTCACCTGCAAGAAGAGCCATAGAGTTACTTGAGAATAGTATATCATTACTGCTTCATTTCTATTCATTTATTTTTTAATCTTCCCCACAGTGCTCCAGCCTTCAAATGAAAAAAGGAAAAAAGACTTACGGAAAAGAGACTTATGCTGTTTACTCTTCCAGTGTGTACAGAAATGATCAGGATAAGCAGGGATGTTTTAAGAGCAGAATTCAGGTTTTTCAAGAAGTTTCTTTTGCATCATCAGAAACTACCATCCCAGTGAGGTAAATTCAATAATCCGTCAATTACCTTTCCTGAACTTTAACATAAGGTAAAAATCTACCTTTTATCAACTTCCCCAACAATGAAGCTGCTATTTGCAGCTTTCATTCTAACAGGAGCTGAGACACACGCCACGTCCAGTACAGCCACGAGCACCAAGCCAACTGTGCAGCCCTCCGCAGCCCCTGGGAGCAGATGAGTGGCAGCACAGAGACAGCAGGATCTCTTCCCATGCAAATCAATAGAGAAATAAGGTTGTCTGATCTAGTTGCTTGTTCACCTAATGGGTGAACAAACATCTGCTTCTGTTTTTAAACAGTTTTCCTGTGTGCATGCTTGTTTGGTGGTTTTTTTTGGAGGGCGGAAAAAAGACTGCAGCTGTCTGGAGCAGATTGCTGTCCTCTTTCTAAGAGCAAGACCTGTGCATTTCAGAACTCTTGCAATACTGTTAAGCAGAGAAGCCAGAAATTTAAAGTCTCTCCTGAGCACTGTTCAAGTAAAAGCAATTACTACTGCAGCTTTCAGCATGAAAGCATGCTTTGAGAGAAAACAAGGATGCAGCCAGATCCTGCCACAAACTGTTTTTAAGTCATATACTACATACAACACTCAGCCCTCCTTATGAAACACGTAACTGAGAAGTAAACCCAACATTTCAGAGTTGCTCTTTCTGATTAAGTAAATTTACCAAGCTGCTCTGAAGATATCTACGTCTTACCTGCATGCCTCAAAGAACCCTAGTAAGTAACAASTATTTTTTTCCCCATCTTAAACTAGATTTTAGCCTCCAGATCAGCAGAACTGATATCAGCTCACTAAAGGGATCCCATTAACATACATGACAAGAGCAGAAATTGTTACCGTCTCCTTATGCAGCAGAAAAATAGCACACCAAGACATCCCTGCAGGAACGAGTCCGGAGCAGGTAACACAGGTCTAATAGCCTTTACTGGCTGCTCTCTCAACTCAGACCCTATCTTGACACAAGGATAGTGTGGGAAAGGAACACACACACACACACACACACACACACTTAAAAGGAAAACCGTGTTCCGTTGTATGTATGCTTGAATGTGTCATTTACCTGGTCTTACACAAAGTATTTGCTGGTCACTGCTGTTGATGCTTTTCAGTTTTTGATAAACGATGAAGCCAGCCTGCAGAGGAAAGCAAACACAGTTCAGTCACTGGAACGCTGTAGAGAAATCACATTTTAAAGACCAAACAAAGACAAGGAAATCTAGTTTGGTGAGACAGAGCATGAATTCCTTAGGAATTGTTAGTATGTCATTAGTTGTACGACATGACTCAAGAACAGTAAGTAAATCACAATTACAACCACGTAACACATTGCAGAACGTTTCACAAAGGTGAAGCCCCAGCTCCTAGGCCAAACTACAGYGGATATTCTTAAGACCAGGTCCCAGGTTTGTTATCTTTTGAAATTAGCTGCTGAGAGAGCGCTCTAAGGACTCCATTCCCCATCTCACCATCTGCTCCATCTCATTCGGATTTTATGTAATGATCCAAGAGAATACTTACGAATCTGCTAAGATAGATTCCACATATTTAATATTTCGCTTGATACGAATAAGAAGCTCTAATAGCAGGAAGCAGCCTCAAGACAGGAATGTGCTAATTAGGCTGCACATGTTAAAGCATCTTGAAGAGGAAGGAGAAGCAAGTTGTTCTCCCATGCTTTCCTGTGAGGAGGCTCCAAAGGCAGGCCAGGGGAGCAGAGCAGAGTGAGAAGCAGACATTGCCCGGGAAAAGCAGCTGCACCAGGCAGCTTGGAGAACACAAAGCCCCTTTATGCACTGGTTTGGGTCCTGCACCTTCAGAGGSCCAACCCTTCCACAATTCAATGCTTAGCTAGAATAGAAATGCATAATGTTTTTAGAGTGACAAAAGAAAACAAGGAGGCAAAGTGTGGCTGTGCTGCCCAATCTCATTACAGAAATAAAAACCCCAAGTGCAATATTAAAGTGCTCCCATAAAGAACATTTTCCTCACAGGGAGCAGACGGTGGTCAGCTGTACATTAATAAATCCCTTCACAGTGCATGGAAAACCTAACCACTTTCCAAACAGCAGTCTTCTACAGAGCTAAAAAAATATATAAGTGTAATAATTATTGTTCCTCTTAAGTCACACTGTGGTTCTGTTCTGTCCACTGCAGAAGGTCATGACTCTTGGAAGATGCCTATAGTGTCATGTATCCTATTTAAAAGAGGCTGAAGAGACTGGATACCCCCTCATAAGCTCAAGACAGCAAGCAAGAACCGCTTAGAGAGCACACCTGGAAGCACTAACCAGCTACAGGGAACATCTGCAGACAACAGAATTCAAGAAACATTAGCAGTAAGTGATTTTCAGCTTTTTGCATACACTTGTCAACTGCACTACCTGTATGTAGGACAGTCACTCTGCAAGAGCCGAGTTGATCTGCAAAAGCCTCTGCTCATTGCACAGACACACACATAAATTCCACCTGGTTGCTCCATTAAAACGCACTGAGGKGACTGTATTAATCTAAATGAACAAAGCAACACGTGTGCCAGAGGAGTGTCTAGCTGTCACTTGACAAGCAGAGACAGCAGAACCTCCAGGAAATCTGGTTCACGCACAGACTTCACTAAAAATGGGGGGAAAAGAAGTCTTGCAAGATCACAGAACAGAAAGAAAAGAGGAATTCATTGCAGGCTCAGGRCTATTTTGGTATGGAATTTCTTTTTCCCGAGCAATGCTTAATTTTATACCCAAACTTTCCACATAATACCCTATTCAAGTCATTTCAGCAAACAAGAGAGTATTGAATCAAGTACAGGCAATAACATCTTCAACAAAGATTTTTATGACAGCTTTAAGTTACCCCCACACTCTAAAATACCATTTAAGGCAGAAAAGGTATTGGACAACTCTTAAACATGCCAAATCCACAGCAGACCATAATCTTTGTATGTTTGCTACACTCCCCAGCAGAAAGGCAATAAGAAAAGCAGCAAAAGGCACATGAGGAAAGAAATTTATTAATAAGGAAAGGCAAACTTTGTACGTACATAAGCGTCTGTGGCTGCATACAATTTCTGCTTCTCATTCAATGGAAATTCTTCCCATTTACTACAGCGGACAGACTTATCTTTCAGAAGTTGCTTGCCAAAAAGATGTTTGACCAGTCCGTTTAGACTCCATATTTCCTTACACTTCAGCTGTAAACAAAGATGACTTGTTTAAAGGGCAAAACAATTGTGCTTAGTGAAATATATTCCTAAAAGTGGCAAAGCATATTCATTAGGGGCAGAGCTCTGCATTTAGGCTTTTTAAGCCTACATCTGCTTTTACCATACTACAAGGTACTTTGGCCATTAGAAATGTCTACTTTCCTGCCCTAAGACTGTATTTTTAGGATGTCACTATGCTGTCAATCTGGAAAGACCATACTGGGACCAGGTAAGCACATGTGCCATGAGAGGACACTGTCATGCAACCAAAATAAGGTGTTTCTCTTTAGAACGTAGCCCAAGTTGTGTCTCTTGCTTTTGTTTTATCTCCCTTGAAAAACAAAACCCTCCTTCCTGGAACGTTGTTCAATTACCTGCATTTTTTTTTAAACCGTCAAAAACATTTCATTTAAGAAAACAGAATATCAGTGTTTGCAGTGGCTGYTCAGTTACCATTTGGATGCTGGAGAAACCGAGTGCAGGGTGTAAAGAATGCAGCTGTATTCCACACTAACAGCTATTCAGCCTACTGTGGAAAAGTTCACTGGAAGACTCTAGAAATCACCCCAATACACTGCTGTTTTCCATTGCTTTTCTAACCTTAAGTGTCATTCAAAGCTGTCACAGCCTGTTGTCCTAGCTGRCTTTCCTAGGGGCATTTAGGAAGTTTCCCTTCCAACCTTGAGGATGGGAGACTCACAAACGTGGTCCTCCAGTATTCTAAGCGGAGCGTGTTTCCAAAACATGGACATTGTCAAGCCTAGCAAAGCTATATGGCATCACAACTTCACATGTTCTCCAACAAGAAAATATGACTGGTGATGTTATCCATCAAACCACCAAAAAAAGACGTGCAGAGAAAAAGGGAGGTTACTGGGAGACTGAGTACAGGTACAGAAAAATTTTGCATACCCAAAAGGCCGAAGATCTTTGAGGAATACAACAAAAATATAAACTATAAGGATATTTGGAAGGTAATGAGCTCTTTGCCCTCTTCCTTAATAAACGAGTACAGAAGTGTAGCTACATTTATATTCAGAACATGTAAAATATAACACTGTTTCTAAACAGTAGATAGACACATCATGGAGACCTCCAACAGGAGTCACAGAAAAGACATCCCACCACCCTAGGTTGTCTAACCCTCTGCACTGAGGGTTGCTGGAAGTCCACGCTCCCTGCACCAGGTAAGTGGTCACAGGAAGGGGGACTCCCTTCTGAAGGCATCAGCCCCTGCTGCRTTTCTGTCATTCAATCCTAAAGGTTCAGTGCGCCCCTGAGAAACACACGGCATTAAAACCAGGACCCTTGACCAACTACTGCACTGTAAGAAAAAGGACAAGAGATACATCTGTAGCCAAGTTAAAAATGCTCTACCTTCTAAATGAAAGAGGTCTACAGAACTGAGAGGGGGAAGATGGCCTGCTAAAAAACAGGCCCACTGTAACAGTACTTAATTCTGCAGACTTTGAGATCTTTGGAAATCTCAAGCTTCCCTCCTCCCCCAATAACTTTTAATACTTCTTTTTTCTACGGAACATGCTTGCCATCCAAACTGCCCTCCTGTGAAGACAATAAGCTTCCTTTCGCACAGCTTAACAAATAGCCCTCCCAAAACAGAAAAAAAAAAAAAATGGTTTAAGTTTTACTTTCTCGTTAGCAAGGTCAGACAGCTCCACCAAACTCTTCATTTTGATTTCAAAGTCACTCATCAGCTTCCATTGATCTCCCTCAATTCCTACGCCAACCTTTTTAATTGTTTCATCCTCGAGCAGTCTCTGGAGTCCCTTGGGAAAACCTAAAATAGATTAAGCCCAAAATTTATAAACAAGATGCTGAAAGATGACAGATATTCTAAAGCAAGTGTTAAAATCCTAGCACAATACCACTTGAGAAAGCCTGTGCCTTTTTTCTCCCCCCAGTGAAGAAAGAAACTCCAAAAAGTTGTGATGTTTATATGGTTCAGTTTGTGCTACTCTGGAGTGACTGCAAGATCAGTTGCCTCAAATATCAATAAGTAGAAAAGAAATATTGGAAATATGCACATGCATTTTTGTGCCTGAAAGCAAGTCGGGTCTTTGAGACTTCCATTTTACTTGGCTGACTCATCTTCAAACCAGATGACAAAAAGACAATTTCTCTAGGGCAAAAAAAAGTTCCGTCTATGGAATTGGATGCATATGAAACCAAATACTGTTTTACTATTTGTCACATGATAATTGTTCCAAATTATTGCTGTTCTGCGTCTAGTGGAAACAGTTCATATCATAAGCACAAGCAATTACCAGGAGAACAAGCTTTGGGCTATGCACTCAGTCCTTGCACTGAGCTGCTCCWAAAACAGTACATTTAAATTTAAAAACACACAGTTAGGTGACCAGATCCTTCACCTAGCCCAGGTAAGTCAAAGTAATAATAACAAACCAGTCCAAATCAATCTCATGGCAAACCCAGATTAAAAAGCATTTTTGAAATTGTAGATTTAAGACAACACAGGTACTTGAAAACTGAAAGCTGCTATTTTTGCCCACCACTCCCAATTCCATCAGGATTTAAAATTCACAACTTCTTATTCAGACACACATCTCCAGGAGACTGCAGCTGGACATCCCGAACTAGTCCCAAAGTGTGGTTCCAGGACCGACAAACACGCAGTATTTCACAAACACAAAGCAGGGGCTTGGTTGGTTTGGACTCCTGCTTTTATGGTCTCCACTGATACTTGGTACCAACTTACAGAACTATTACAGGAATCTGTGGCTCCAAAATGTTGGGCATCTTAATGATGACACTGTCACAGTACCTCAACCATAACGAAGTCTGGAGGATCTTCTGATGGGGAGACACATATGGAGGAGCTGAATTAAGGTATATACTATATGCCACTAACTTCCTGAAAAAGGGCTTTTCACCTACGAATGTCATCATGAAAACCTTCAAGGATAGAAACTTCCCAGCGGGCGACTTCTGCTCCATTTCTGCCATGCCATTTAAGGGRAAAAAWAAAAAACTATATGAACTATAAAGGTACAACTTCAATACTACAAAGATGCTGCAATCTGAGAAACAAGCCACTTTTTAAAAAGTTTTTCCTCCAAAAAAAAAAAATAGTGACTAAGAAATGGAAAACTGCAAAGAATTTTACTAAAAATAACTAAGTAGAAGAGAAGAAAGTTGCTGGGATTGTATCTACAGTCATCACATTAACAGCAACATGAATATATGTATTTGTATACAATATACATCTGCAGGAAACTGTTGTACGCACTTGCAACAAAYTGTGGTAAGTGCTGCCCATTTGACTAGAGGTGCCAGCATTARCAGTCCTGTAAGTCAAAAATATCTGAATCATCAGAAACTGGCTGTGGATCGTGGTGTAGGATCAGTTCAAAGAGCTTCTCGCACTGCCACGAGCAGAAGCTTGAGGTGGTGAGCCGGGCAGAAGCTCCCTCTTTGGCTCTCACACACAAGACACAGAAACGCTTTGCATTCTGAAGGCAAAATTATTTGTCTTTTTGTTGATGCTGGATGAGGCTGTTTCTCTCCTTCCTTTGCTTCCTTTCCTCAAGTCTCTTGTGCACTCATAGCTTTCTACCTCCCAGACTGAATAGTCTCCAGTAATTAAGTTTTCCACCCCATCTGCTCTAAATGGAAAAGGATTGAACACCACCATTAAACGACCACTATTATACCTCAGCATACACACGCCGGGGAAAATCAGGCATCTCAGAGGCATCTTTTCACTCTAACAAACCAAAGAGTTTAAAATAGCACTGGCTTATCCCTATTCCCTTTGGGAAGCTTTTATTTAACCCTCCTGTATTATAAGGGAGAGGAGGGAGAAGGTGATTCCCCACCTCCCCATCAAAGGTCATGTAAAATATTTGCTACTGCTCGAAGCTCAGATCAAGTAACATGCAACCTGGTAACTCATGCGCAGACCGACAGGAATAGCAGATTTACAGTACCTGACATAGAAGAGATATGAAACAAGTAACATTTCTCCTCAGCCACACATATTTGGATCAGAGCCACTTTTGCCATTTTTCCTTTAGTATAGGACGGGGGCCATTCAATATCAAATCCAACAGCAGCCCCATCAGGTAAACTCCCCCTGAAAAGAGATGGACATTCTGCACATTTAACTGCCCTCCCTTCAGCACTTAAGATACTAGATTTAAGTCATAAATATAGATGTTTGCATCTTTGCAGTATATTCTTCCTTTCACAGGCATGGCACACAGGAATGACTTTATGATGGCTTTCAGCATACAACCTTCCAGCAGGTTGAATTTGTGCTTCTCCAGAAAGCTGCATAAAACCTTTTGAACCAGCTTGTTTTCTAACAGACAGCGCTGCATGAAATAAGCACATACAAAGAGAGGAGAATAGTTTATTCTCCCTTGCAAGTTTGCTCTTTTATTTATCCTGCTGCACTGAAAATTTCAGAATTGAGCAGTTATCCCAGAAAAAATGAGCTGTGCTATCAAGCAAAACCAAAACAAGTCTGTTAGCATCACAAATTAGGATTTCCTCAAACATACATTGCGCAGTGTGTATGTTCACAGTTCACACACTCTTGATTTCACACAGTACTATACATGCCACAGACAACAGAGCTGCATCAGAGCCTGCACTGCACCACTCCATTTAAAGCAAGYGCAAGGGTCAACCACAGCATCTTTGAGGAAAATCCAAAGGCAAAACTACGAGCACACAGCACCACACACAGAAGCATTTTGAAAATTCTCCTCGCTGTGGATGAGTCAGGGATATCCCTCCCAGGGATAACCGGCTGTCAGGAGCAGCAGCTTCCCTCTGCACTTGCAACCACTGTGCTTTGCCAAAYAGTGGTCAACCAACAGAAGCAGACAGAGAGCAGAGCCAAGTCCTTTTCAGAATGGAAAAAAAAAAAAGAAAAATACACTTCAAAGAAACTGAGGAAGAGCCATTACCTGATATCTTCAGAGAGAAGGGAGCAGTCGCTGGCATCGTAGCTGTAAATGACGGCGCCGCGGAACTCGAGGAAGGGCAGCCCGTCCTCCAGAAGGCTCCGGTGAACGCTAAGCTTCTGCAGAAGAATAGTTGGAAGAGAGTCTGTTTTAGCCACACGGAGCCTCGCAGGAGAGAGGCCTCAGCACTGCAGCCATGACATACCGTGTCAAAGCCACATCCCAGCGGGCCTGGGGCTCAGCACTGCAAGCTGGTTGCAAAACCACACGCCAGGCTGCGACCACCAGCAGCTGGCTAACGCTTCCCAGTAGAAACCTGCGGTTGAGGCCTCGATTTATTTGCTAAACTCCACATACTTGGCACTGAAAGCACACAGACTGAATCTGCACCCCGGCTGACCCCTTCTGGATTATTCCAGCCAAAAGGATTCAACTCATTTTAAAAAGCAAGCTCAAGGGGAAGCGCTATTTCAATGGTGTTAAAAAACCCCTCAGTGCACCTGAAACACAGTAGCACCTTCCCACCTTGAAACTGGTCAAGCAGCAGCCTTTGAAGGTCATTGTGAAATTCATTCCAATCGAGTCAGGCTCGAAGCCTGAAGCACCTCCATTCACGGTGCAAATTCAGCTGGGAGCAGAACCTCACACGTCCCGACTATCCCCAGAATAAACCACACTGCTCTGAGAGAATAAAATCGAGGTATTCCCAGTTCTAAACCAAGGCACCTGCCATCTTCTAGGTACTCAGCTCTGCAGCTCCTGCCATGCTCTTTTGAGAGCACGGTTTATGAGGAAGAAGAGGGCAGAAGCAGCGAAGAGCGACGACATCTGCAGATAAACTGCTGCAGGAAAGAACTGTTTGCCAGCCCTTTACACTGTGTACGTGATACTGCAGCCGGCTCCTTGTGAAGTCTGCCACGCAGCAAGTAAAATGCACGGTTTTAAAAGCACTGGCAACATTTCAATGGACTGATTCTGTCACCTGAGTTCTGGTTACAGCTTTCAAGGTTAAGCACCCAGGAGAATGCGACATTGAACTTTCCAGTCAGTGCTGGCTCTTCTCAGGGGCCTAATTACCCAACAGAGTTGGACTTGGGAACTTATTCCAACGGCAAAACACCTGCAATATCTGCAAATACTCACCTGCACGCAGAAGCTTCATGGTGATATAACAAACATACACATAAGCTAACACGACAGCAATAAACCTTAATACATAACATTTATCCTACTCTTTGAAGAACAGAATAAAAGCCTGTCAAGCAGGAGCAGGCTCCCTGCATAAAACAGTTTATTAACACAGTTTCAGAAGTGATAAACAGCCTGGAAAGGAGAGATTCTGAAACCACAACCAAGGATGTTGACCATTTCAGGCTTCCACAGAGAATCAYTTCCTCCAGTTAATGAAGAAGAGTTCATCGAGCCCTCCACAAAAAAAATAAAACAATTAAAAAAAACACATGATACAGGTTGCACCTGAGCAAGTGAAAAAYCACGCTGTTTTCCACTGACTTTAACTCCATGCTACAAGTTTGCTTTCTCCCCACTTTATAATGGGCAACTGCTGAAGGGAATGTTCTGCTTTTCTTCCTTTCATTAGTGTTCTGTTAGTACTTCTTAAGGTCTTACAGGTTTGCCTTTAGTGGAAGTTTTCTACTTAAGCTGCTCATTTATGCAGGCAAAGATAAAACATTATCTGTTAACACCAGCTGCGTCGCCAGAGTCCTGATGACMGGCCGAGTCACAGAAATAACCTGCTCAGAAGGGCCTGAGGTTTAAGAGAAAAGAGCTGTAAACACCCCACAAGAGAAATCAGAGGCCCAGTCCCCACCAAAGAGGCCCAGGCCAATGTTGTCTGCAGTGTAAAGCAGACCACGTGTTTTCCCTTAATGTGACAATATACCTTTTTATCAGCCAGAGTTGCCTCTTGGTCCTGTGCAACCATCCACTGAGGGTATTTATTCTCGTTCATTTTCTCACATGCCTGTTACTTTTCCTTAGCAGAGAACAAAGAATTCAAAGGGTCAGCAATGTGGACAGAGATAACTTTAACTCTTTCCATTTTTAGGCTGGGAAAAAGCACAGCTCATCCAGGATCACCCTGTGACCATAAGCTCCCCGTGAACAAGGACGGGGATCTACCGAGCTCCCGCACTGACCCACGGACCCGCTTGACGAGGCACAGACGCCGAGGGGAATCGCGCAGATCGGAGAGACTCCTCCGAAAGCCCCCGTGTGGGGCGAAGCCCCACTTTGGCTTGGCTCCGAGCACGGGCTGGGACACGCGGAGCTGCCCAGGGCCCTCCCCGCGCAACGCGGCCCCTGCGAGCAGATGGACGCACCTCGGCACGGGCGGATTTGGGGCCCCCCGCGGGCGCCTTGCACGGGGGACTAACCCCGGGGCCCCGCGCCCGGCCGCC